AATTAATATTAGTAAATGCGCACGTGCAATACACGTTAATATTTAGATAATATATTAATTGCACGCAGATATTAGGTATGGCATTATTTGTGTGTTAATCCTGTGATTAGTGCAATATTTGGTATGATATTAATTGCACATTAAACACAATTAATGCCCGCCATTGGAGTAGTCTAGGTCGTTGGATTGACTTAATTCGATGGCCGAGATCAATTGGGTCTGCCCCTTTGATCTCTTTATATTGATATAGATGTAAAGATTTTTGCTTTCTTCGCGAATCAACCTGTGGTTGAGTTGGTTAGGTGGACAGTGGTATCCCCAACCCACCAGGGTTGACGTTCCCGTCGATGACGAGGCGCCTACGGTAACTTTGTAAATCTCAAGATGATATGCCGGTTCAGCCTCTCGGAGGTGCTCATAGGGATAGGGTGTGCTTGTGTATGTTCATAGGGATGAGTGTATGCGCGTGTATATGAGTGCTTGTGTCTGTACTGATGCTCAAAAAAAAATTTGCTTTCTTCGAATTTTTTTTCTGTTGGTACACAAGCATCACAAGAGAAAATAGTGTATCGAAAATTCTAAACGCACGGGCTCTTTACAGAGATTTCACGGGTCTCTTCCAAACTAATTTCCCCTGAATTCAGCGACGGTGGCCCCTCGCCTTATTTCTATGCAATCTAAATATGCTAGTTAAGAGCAACTCTAGCAGACCCTGCAAAAGCTCTTGACTTGTAAAATAACCGTCAAAATGTGGGTGTGGTCCGAAAAGCCTGCCCGGCCAGAACACGTATCCCGCCCTGGCCCGCAAAAATTTTTAGGGGGCATGGCAAATTTTCGGTCCCAACCCGGGAAAACGCGGGTTTCCTCCTCGCGGTTGCGGTGCCCTGCATCACAGAGAAGCAGTTGGCGGGAGGGACATTTCAGCCCGCGCTCTTTTTCCCCTTCCTTCCGTCGCCGTCCGCCCTTGCTTCCGCCCGCCCGCCGCCGGCGATTCCGGCCATATCTGCGGGCGGAATCGCTCTGCGGGGCCGCCCCACACCCTCTCGCGCCGAGCCGCTGCACCGCCCCTTCAGATCCGGCGAGAAGAGCCACTCCCAGTCGCTGCCGCCGCTGGGATCGACCGCTGGGATTTGAGATTTGCGGGCTGATGATTTGCGGGGATGCATCGGCGCAAAGAGCAGAACCCGCATAGCCGACCCGTAAAAA